TCAATCATTCTGCCTAGGGTAGTTTGAGTTGTGGTCTCTACCACCTGTGACCAAAGAAGTCCTGACCAATATAGAAGCTCCATTGTTCCTGGAAATTTAAATAATGAGAAGCCAGAAACAAGTCTACATAAAGCATGATCCCATTTATATGAAATGTCCAGGAGAGGCAAGTCCGTAAAGATAGAAAGCAGATCAGTCGTTGGCAGAGACTGGGAAAAAGGGGAAAAGCGGAGTGACTGCTACTGTGCACCAGGTTTCATTTGGGGAGTGATGAAATGTTCTGGAATCAGACAGTGGACGGTTGCACCCTGCGAACATGCTAAAAACCATTGAATTGTATACTTTAAACTGGTGAATTTTATTACAGGAATTGTATACTAATTTAAATAATTTAAATAAATTTAATTATGGTCATTGGAACTCCCCCAGGGAGTGAATGGGAGCACCTGCTTTCCTCACTTCCTCTTCCATGGGGGACAGAAAGGACCACAGTGAGAACTGCAGACTTGGAAAATGCTTTATTTCAAGGAATTACAAAATGCAGTGAAATACGGGGGGAAACAGAGCATCACTATAATCTGGTGTAACAGAAGAAATGGCCACCTAGTTTTGCTTTCCAACTACACACACAAATGGGGATCTCATTATTTAAGGTAAGACACGATAAGCTCAAAACTATAGCTCATTGTACCTCGGGTTCCCTCATTTGATCTAGAAATTGCAAGGGAGCTGGTAACAACATCCCTTGAGCTGTTGCATCTACCTCCACGCAAAGTTCCTTCGTTTCATTTGCCAGATGACCAGGAATCGTACACTAGTTTGGCTGCAACCAGGTCTTCCACCGCCATTCCTGGAAGGGGCAGAAATGTGGTTCACTTTTTGTCAGAACACCATTCCCAGGAACAGTCCAGGCCCTGTGATTGGCAGTTTCCTGACTCACTGTCTGTGCTGCTAACCATGCCTATTGGGGTAAAAACGTACTCATATCCAGAGGTGCGTTTAGGCTTGGAAGGTCTGAGAAGGACAGGGTGAAGCAGGGAAAAGATGCTAAGCAAGAAATGTCCACCAAACACATTTTAAATGTCCTTCAAAGTTTAATTTAGCGTGCTGAAAACTTTCTGTGAACAGCCGGATGGTCAATATTTAGGCTTTGCAAGCCCTATGGTCTCTGTTGCAATCAACTCTGCCATTGTGGGGCAAAAGCAGTCATACATGATAGGTAAGCAAACGACCCTGGCCATGTTCCAGTAAAACTTTCTTTATGGACACTGAAGTTTGAATTTCATGTGATTTTCATCTGTCACAAAATATTCTTCTTCTTTTTTGTTTTCTAGTCATTTGATTAGAAACTATTCCTAGCTTGAAGGCAGGACAGAAACAGGAGGTGGGCCGAGTATGGCCCACAGGCTATAGTTTGCAGACCCTTGGTCTAGTCCAAACCCTGCATCCTTCAGCAACCCCACTTATCTTATTGTTTTGGATATGAAGCTTAACCTCAAGTGGATATGTGTTTTTAAAGGACAGGTATGATTTTTACTAATTTTTGTAGTCACCACTACATCCAGTACGGAGTCTGATACATAATAGGTGTTTAATATGCACCTGCTAGATGGAAAGCTGTGCCAATAAACCAATCCCCAAAGCAAGAAAACAAAAATTGCTCAGAAGGGCACAGCAGATTTCTGCAGTATGGTCTGCTGAAGGGGTTGCTGACCTCTGATCTCTGAACTCTGAAATTTTCCATCACAACTGGATCAGTGTGATGTCTTTGAACCAAGCTCTGGGTAAAGTTTACACTGCTTTTTCCTGTCTCCCTGTGCATGAGAGATTTTGAAAATATATTTAAAAGGCAGCAAGGCACGGATACTGACCCATTGGCATGGATGCTAGGTGGCCAGAGTACTCTTAATGTTCTGCCAAGCATTAAAGCTTTGGGTTCTTGATCATAGGAAATAGGCAAGATCTTGGGAGAAGGGTGGAAGACATTCTTGGGGGCTCAGGGCAATAACTATTTATCAACCAGTTTGGGAGTATTTCAATATTTTAGGTGTATCAGCTGACTATCAGCTCTGTTATCATGTGCGTCCATTTCCTTAACTCCGAGTGGGGGGTAAAGTTGCTGGGCTGAGGGGAAGACTGGCCACTGGGAGCCCATCCTTTGTTGGGCTTCTGTTGGTAATGGGGCTCCCCATGGAAGTCCCTATCAAATCAGCAAGTAGGAGGGTAGGGAAGGAAGGACAAAAAGGGGTCTCAGGCTGTGCTTCCTGGGTGGGTCTCTTCTGGTAGGTCTCCCTGCCATTTCCCTTAAGCTTCCTGTCTTAAAAACAATTTTTTTTAACATTTGTTTACTTTTGAGAGATAGAGAGAGACAGAGCACAAGCAGGGAAGGGGCAGAGAGAGAGACACATACGCACAGAATCTGAAGCAGGCTCCAGGTTCTGAGCTGTCAGCACAGAGCCTGACGCAGGGCTTGAACCCATGAACTGTGAGATCATGACCTGAGTCAAAGTCAGACGCTCAACTGACTGAGCCACCCAGGCGCCCCAAGCTCCCTGTCTTTAAACATCCTTACCCCCACCTCTGAAGGATACCTTCTTCTGACTTTCATTTAGATCTAAGTCCAAATGATTTGCTGCTGACACTTGCTGTATACAAATCATTTTACACACATACACATGTCACTTAATTCTCATAAACACTGAAGGGAACAGGTAGTGAAGATACTGTGGCTCAGATGGAGTGAGGTCACTTGCCCAAGGACGCATATCCAGGGAATGGCAGAGAAGGGAATCCCACCCAGAACCACCCAGTTCCAGAGTTCATGGGCTTACTACCTACTGTGCTAACACACATAATAATTGTGTTAACATAACATAATTATAACATAAATAACATAAATAACATAACACAATTAACATAATTGTAACATAATTATAACATAAAAAACATAAATAACATAACACAATTATAACATAAATAATTGACTCAAATGACAGATTTCATGAATCAAATACAGAGTCCAGTGACTCATTCCCCTTTGCACCAATGGGCAAGCCTGCCCTTGTGCTCTGGCTGGAGTGTGCCCTGGGAGCAACAGTCCTTACCTAAAGACTTGAACACCGTGGTCTTGTCGCAGTGCGCCGGCTTGACTCCCCTCACCACTTCTCCCAGCTCAGCAAAGATCTCAGCCTGTGAAATGAACACACACTGACCCGGGGGCCATGGAGCCAGTGTCTGCTCTGGCCAGGTTCTGAAGCAGGGGCAGGGAGAGCACCCAGAACTGGATGAGGTTCTTGACAAAAAGATCATTTGTAAACTGGCTCCCCCCATTAAAAAAAAGATATATAGGGGCGCCTGGGTGGCGCAGTCGGTTAAGCGTCCGACTTCAGCCAGGTCACGATCTCGCGGTCCGTGAGTTCGAGCCACGCGTCAGGCTCTGGGCTGATGGCTCAGAGCCTGGAGCCTGTTTCCGATTCTGTGTCTCCCTCTCTCTCTGCCCCTCCCCCGTTCATGCTCTGTCTCTCTCTGTCCCAAAAATAAACGTTGAAAAAAAAAAAAAAAGGATATATATAATATATATATGTGTTACATATGTATATATATATAATATAATTATAATTATTACATATAACACATGTTATATGTTATATATATTATAATTATATACAACACATATGTATTATATATAACATATAATATAATAATTATAATTATTGTATAATATATAATCATAATATAATTATACACACACACCTATATATTTATATATATTTTTTTGCATAATATCTGCCTTTGTGATATACCATAAATGCAGAGATACAAGTTTGTAGCCAGGAGAATGTCCAGCCAAGACAGTCTGTCAGTGAGGAAATAAGCATATTCTTATCTTAACGCTCATTTTGGCAGCCCTCTTCTTGCTCCTATGTTCTGATTACAGAAGAATAAGGCCAGAACGTGGCCAACCCCAGTCTTATTTTGTTGGCCACATTGGGAAGGTTGCCAGCCACTTATCTCCCAATCTTACTGCTTCATAGGACAGCTCAGTCCGATGGGAAACATCCATCAAGCTGTTCTCCAGGCAAAGGGGACAGGAAAACACATGTCATTAACATAATGGCCACATTATTCCAGAAGGGAATTAGAAAGGGTTGAGAGATGTTTAGGGGCTGTCACCCACAAAGAGGTAGGAGTGACTGAGGTCTGGAACAGTCCAAATGGCAGGGAAGGTTAATGAAACCCTGGCATCCAGGTGAGGCCAGCTGGACAGCAGCCCACCAGGAGGAGAGGCTCACCCCTGACAGGAGGACATCTCCAGACTCTTTCAGGGCAGCCTCTTGGGAATCCACATAGAGCACAGCCTGTTTCATCAGCTCGTCGTCCAGCTCTCTCCAGTCGGGTCTGCTCGCTCCAATGGCTAAGAGACAGCAAAACGGACCCTGAACCCAGAAATAGAGGCAAGGGACACTACACGTGCCAAAAAGTGGAGGAGGGGTGGGGAAAAGGAGGTGACACAGAACACAGGGGAACACTCAGATTTGGGATGCCTCATTTCCCAATGCCAGCCTCCCCAATCAGCAAGACTGAACACTCATCAATAAGAATAATGCCTGTCTTTTTTTTTTTTTTTTTTTTTTTGCATTTCATACCAAGATCTTTCTAAGAGATTTTGAGGCAACTTAGCATTCATTTATTGGCTGCCTGCTATCTGTGGGATGTTTCGCACATTTTATTTATAATCCTCACAAGTATGCTTCATGTCTGATTTCCATTTACAAGGTGCACAAAGGAGGCTCAAAGAACCGAAGGTGTTGGCCATGGTTGTGTATCTAAGACATGCTCCTGGGCCCTTTGATGCCTTTTCTGTTTGTTTATTGGGGGCAGTGACCTCTTTATAAAATTCTGGGAACAGAGACATTACTTACAGCTTATTCACACCCTACACTCCTCCATCTTCTATCAATCTGCTTGGTTCTGAATCCTTCCCACTCCTCACCCCCAACCATTTCTCTCTTCACTCATGACAAAGGAGCCCAGTGCCAGGCTCACGGAGAAGCCCCAGTAGAGAGGAAACTGGCTCCATCCTGGCACCGAGATATCACATCCTTTGCAGTGAGCCCAGCAGCATAATGATGAATCCAAGGAATCATGCCTCCTGGCACCGGCACGTAGGATAACACAGAGGCTGCCACCAAAAGTCCACAAGGCCAGGCAGGTAAGGAACATGAGCAAAGCTGGTCAGAGGGGCTGGATTGGAAATGGTGGAGCCCTTGGTACACAGAAGAAAACTGGCCCTTGTAAAGAGGGCAGCCACCATTCATCTCCAGCTAATTGTGGCCATGAGAATGCAGGGCCGCTGTTAGATATTCTCCCCTTCTTCCTTTTATTATTTTTTTTTTAAAGAGAAGCAGGAAATCTATTTGCATGTGTTATTTCTTGATTTTTAGAGCACACTATGGTCCAAACAAAACACATCTGCTGGCTGGATCCAGCCCACGGCCAGCTAGTCTTTGGAAACTGTTATAAAGCCTTGCACCCACATAAGGTGGCATTTATGTGCCTTCCCACATTGTGTCCAGTTTTCTCTACTTGTTCCCTCTCCTGCTGTTGTCCCCTACTCTAATTTTCAACGAGATTGGTGTAAAAATGTCCTTCTCGAAGGGCATTTGTGTGGGGAGTTCTGTAGAACAAAAGCACTAACTAAATGAAGCTCGTAAATAAATCATAAGCTGGTGGGAAAAACCCTAGCTTCTCAAGCCACCTCTTCTCATTGCACTTGCATCCCCTCTCCCCAACCCTCTCCTGCCCCAGTTCTTCTGAGCAGGGGGAGTTTTCAAAGGGTCCTGTGAGGCCACTGGGGCAGATGGAGGTGGGCCAGGCAGTGAAGGGAGGGGTCTCACTCAGTCTGGGCCCTGGCCTTGCTCCAGTGGAGCAAGAACGGGTGAGGGTCAGACCCCAGCTGGGGCAGCGGGGAGAGGGTGCAGGGCGGGGGTGAAATCAGGCCTATCTCTTAGCCAAGCTGTAAAGTAAGTAAAATCTGTTGTTGGTGTCTCCCTGTCAACCACACTTGTAACATACTTTTCTGAAATATATTTGATGCCTCTGTAAACGCCTAAGCCAATTTTGTCTTTGGGCTAGGGAAATAGAAGGGATGCCTGGACTCAAGATTTAGGCAGCACTTCCTGGAGAGTCACAGTGTGAGAGAGATTCTCTGTTGCTGGCTTTGAGGATGAAACAGACATACAAGGAACGTGGACAGCCTCCAGGAGCTGAGAACAGCCCCCAGGAAACCAGTATTCCTCTCTTAACAATGTGAAGCATCTGCACAACCACCTAGCCCTGGAAGAGGGCTCTGAGCTCTAGATGAGACCGCAGCTCACACAACACCTTGATTTCCTCCTTGTGTGAGCAGAGGCCCCAGCTAACCCATGCCCAGACCCCCAAAACCACAGAAACTGCAAGATAATACATATGTACTGCTTTAAGCTGAAAAAGAAAAAAATCAAGTCGGTCTGGCTGAACATTCAGCTCTTGTCCATTTTACCAAGAACTGGTTTCTTTTGATTTCCCGAGTCCTTCCAGAAATGGTCTTACTGTCACAAAGCCAGAACTGACCCATCTCTTGCCTGCCTACCCTCTGGACTCACATCATAACACCAGTCCCACACAAGCTGAGACCTTCACTTCGTGTTGGCCCATTCCTCAGGCAAGCCACACGCTGGTTTCCTTCACAGAACTTCCCCTTACCTGGAACCATCTAGTCCATCTATTTGCTTAGCTCTTTGTTGTCGATTTCCTTTCACCTGAATGTAAGCATCAGGAAAGCAAATGTCCCCGAGTGCTGGCTTATTTTGGCCTCCCCAGCATCTAGAATAGTGCCTGTCACATGGTAGGGATTCAGGACACATTTGTGATTGGATGCGCAACCATGACACTGGGCTTCTGCCTGCTCTCTGCCAATGTGTACAGAATTCTTAGCTTCTGAGTTCACGCCAGGTGGTTGTCACCAGAACAGAGGGCACTGAAAACGTGTTTAAACCCCTAGTATTTGCCCTCCTTGCTCACCAGATTCCAGTCTTCTTTTTGGAAGATAATAGAGAGTAGTAAAATTGAAGAGCTTGTGCTCTGATGGTAGATTGCTTCAGTTCAGATCCCAGCTCTACCACTAAGAACCTCTGACTTTGGGCAAGTCACTTAATCTCTCTATGCCTTGGTTTACCCACCTATAAAATGAAGGTAATGATAAGAATATCTCCTACCTCATAAGGTTGTTGTAAGGATTGAATGATGTAATACAAATAAAGAATTTAGAACAGCACCTGCAACAGTAAATATTCGACAGAGACCAGCTCTTGCTATAACCTCCAGAGTCATTTGAGAATCCTCAGAAGCCCCAGGAACTCTTATGGTTGGAGTCCCACCCATCCTATCACACATATTAAATAGCATCCACATGTCATATTAAATGTCTTTTGTGCTATAATTTAAAAAAAAAAACTTTTTCAGGGGGTAATTCTAAGTATTTTTAAGAAAGAAGGAATCATTTGACTTTTGTAATTTAAATTCCATTACATTTAAGAACTTAGCTGTGACTGATCACTTGCCAAAATGTTACATTTTATAGAACTTAAATGTATAAGCTTCTGGTTCAGGATTTTTGTTTCAAAGTTTTGAGTGAATATTGTTTTTCAGGGATCACATGTTCCTGAGGGCCTTAAAAAGCTTGGTCGTTTGCATGAGGAAAATAGCTCTGCAGATGCAGCCACTTAGTTCAGCCCAGGGACAACTATGGCCACCATCTACCCATGGCTCCGGGAGCCACTCTGCTTACCATTGATGTGAGCCCCCGGCTTCACCCATTCACCAAACAAAATGGGCTCTGTTGCCATGGTGACTGTGATGATCACATCTGCACCTGTCACCGCCTCCTGGACCGACGAACAGACCTGTACCTCTCCTTGAACTGTGTCTGCAAACTTCTCTGCATGTTCTTTGGTGCGGTTCCATATCCTCACCTTCATTGGGGGTAACAAGAGGGACATTGGTGCCATGATTGTTTGTCTGTTTATGTTTTATTATGTTTCATTGGTGCCAGGGGAAAGTTGAGCCACTCTGGGGTAAGGGGATTTACATCATCCCCTATGGGTGTGCCTGGGTGGCTCTGTTGGTTAAGCGTCCAACTCTTGATTTCGGCTCAGGTCATGATCTCACGGTTCATGGGATCGAGCCCACATCAGGCTCCGTGCCGACAGTGTGGGGCCTGCTTGGGATTCTCTGTCTCCCTCTTTCTCTCTGCCCCTCCCCTGTTAGCACGCAGGCACGCAGGCATTCTCTCTTTCTCTCTCATGAACAAATAAACAAACGTTAAAAAAAACAAGAATGGTCTAGATCAGACTCTTGACCTAACTATTTCAGAATTGCCCATGTTGCAGTGAAGGAGTATAGATAAAGGTCACGATCGCTCCCTCTCCTCTTCTCCCCTAGCCTTCCCTGGACTTACCTCTTTGAAGGAGAACTGTTCTGTGAAGACCTCGTAGTGGCTATAGGCCTGGACCCCAGCCCCAAGGATGCACAACACTTCACTGCTGGGTGGTTTCAAAAACTATTTGAGAGAAACCAGGTGGCAAAGGTCAAGGGAGACAGAGCAGCCAGGTGAAGAACAAACACAGTCTGAGTATCAGGTGTCTTTGGCCCTATCTTTAGCTCCCTCACTATCTCTTGGGCAATGAAGGAGATGATACTTCGTGTTTCAGTTTCTCCTCTGCAGAGTGTGGAGCGGAGGAAGGAGCCTTCAGGGAGCCCCTAATATATGCCAATGCTTTACCCTCATGGTCTCATTTAGTCCAGGCAATCACCCTGTGAGCAAGGCACTCCTATTTTTATCCTCCTCTTCTAGATGAAGAAATTGGGGTCCAGAGAGGTTAAGTAACTTGCAGGGTCCTACAACTATTAAATGGCACAGTGGGGCTCCAAAAACCACACCCTTCATTCTCCAAAGACCACATTCTTTCTCCTGTGCCACCCCATCTTGGGGACATGATAGGCCACACCCACTTCTCAGAGCCCTGAGTTACTTCTAAGAGCTACCTGGAATCCATGGGCCCTTCCTTGCAACTCAAGGCTCTCCGTTATATTTTCGAAGCCCACTGCTGATCCTTTCTCAGCCTCCATCTTCCTTTAAAGAGGAGTGTAGACCTGGCATTTGTGGCACCTGCTAAGGATGTACATGTGTCTGTGTTTGGGAGTGGGGTTCTATGATCAACTCATATCAAGTATCATCTCTAAGGTGAAATCTTCCTGACCCCCCGATAGAAGTCATCCCTTCACAGCACTTATTTCTTTACAGATTTATTTTCTTGTACTGATCTGTAAGCCCATGAGGGCAGAGACAGTCTCATGTGCACAGATTTGGCACAAATCTCCTATTATGTGTAGGAAGTAAAGCAGGGTTCCTGAACCTCAGCATGACTGACATTTGGGCTGGATAATTCTTTGTCAGCAGAAACGGGTGCATGGGCTCTCCTGTGTATTACAGGATGTTTAGCAGCATCGCTGGCCTCTATGCATTTGATACTTGTAGCATCTCCTACTTCCCCTAGTTGTGACAAAACCAAAAATGTCTCCAGATATTGCTAAATGTCCCTGGGACAGGTGGCAAAAATCATTTGGGGTTCAGACCTACTGGCACACCATCCATATTAAATAAGAGCCTCTTGTGGGGTGCCTGGGTGTCTCAGTCAGTTGAGCATTCAACTCTTGATCTCAGTTCAGGTCTTGATCTCAGGGTTGTGAGTTCAAGCCCCACACTGGGCTCCATGCTAGACATGAAGCCTACTTTAAAAAAAGAGAGAGAGAGAGAGAGAGAGGAAGGGAGGGGAGAGAGAGAGAGAAAGAAAGAAAGAAAGAACCTCTTCTGCCTTTTCTGTATTTCATTCAGTAAAATTTGAGTCTGTCCTTTCTTCGATATTAATTATTGAATTTCTGGAATGTAATCCTAAAAGTGAAAGTCTCTTTAATTATTAATTACTAGCAAAAAGGAGTCACAGAAATAGTAGCAGATGTTCATCTCTCCTGTAGCTACAGAAGGAGAGATACCATTTTGTGCCATAAAATATAGTTCAAGGTATCTGACTTGGGAAGTTTTCAAAATTACAATATCAACAAAACAAGCAATGTTATGCTCTTATCCAACAAGGAGAATTAGGTGATTTTTCCTTTACTAAATCAATTTTTTCCTGTTCTTAGTTAATATGAATCTATTCTTTGAAGTACACTTGGGCTTTAGAAATCATTGCAGTGTCCTGTAAAACAAACCTTCAACTTGTGAAACTAAATCTCTAATTCTGATTGATTGTCTTACTTGATAATTTGTTGCCTTGGTAATAATGTTACAATAGACATCTCTTTTCCTAAATAGCATAACATTTATAAGATGTATTAAATCATAGCAGGATTAGTGGTACTTCATTCTTTTTCCCATAGCATGCAAATAATTAAAAACATGTATATGAATCTGCTAGGTTTCTTACTTAAAGAGCTTGGAAGTGTGTGTGTCATCTGCATTTGCTAATGAACAGCACTAGATGTAGCCCTGCCATCTCTCCAGCCCCCTCTCAGGCCATGTTCCTCTGCAATTCCTGTCCTTCAGCCACACCGGCTTCTTTGCAAATTCCCAAGCACGTGTGCTACCATCAACCACAGGGCCTTTGCACAGGTTCTTTCCTATGCATGAAATATTTTTCTCTCTGTCCTTCACAAGTAACTCCTCCTATCCTTCATATCTCTCCTCAGATATCCCTTCCACCAGAAGAGCCTTTCCAAATCCCACAGACCTCCTGTTACACACTCTCATTGCACTTCACCTCTTGCACTTGATGTATTTGTCTAGGTAATAGTTTCACAGGTATTGGTGTGATCTTTGGGTTAATATCTGTTTCCCCAAATAGACTCTTGTGTTCCATGATGGCAGGTACTGTATCTGGTTTTACTTACCATTCTATGCCCCAGACTGAGCACTGGGCCTGGCCTCTAGTGGGCACTCAATTATTTGCCGAATAAATGCATGCCAGGGATAAACTCTGATATGTACTGTCACCTTGAAAAAGCATGTCAGAATCCACAACTCAGGGTATGTGCAATCCAAATGCAAAGAAGTTGCAGTGACTGACAAACCCGAGAAGCTCTTATACTTCTCATCCTCCTCCCCAAAGCCCTAAATGAATGAGAAGTAGTGGAAAAGAAAACACTCTCTCTTCCAGGGCAAAAAGTGTAATAGACCTTTAGTTCCTTATTGAAATAACCCATCTGCACCCCTGGGCATAAAGCTGGGAAGTTGCAGCCTAAACTCTGAAGCATCAGCTCAATGATTCTCAACTCTTATGGGAGTGCAGATTTTTATCAATGCAAAAAAAAAAAAAAAAGCACGGTGTAACTGGGAGCTGGGTCTATGAGATTTTGGTTTTCAAACCTGGTTGATCATCAGAAGTAACCAGAGACATTAAAAAAAAAAAAAAAACAACACAACAACCATTTTCTTGGGCCCCACCCTTAGTGATTTCAAATCTGTGTTTTGGGGATCTGAATTTTTAAAGACATTCCCCAGGTGATGGCTGCTGCATAGCTTGAGTTGGAAACCACAGACCTGGGCCACGAAGACCAGGCAGTCTCAGAGGATCCCATAGCTACGTGGCTTATATGACTTCAGGAAGTCCTAGTCTCCATCTCTAGGACGAAATGAGGCCAATAATACTTGTTCTCCCTCCCTCACAGAAACCGAAAGATACATCAAGACAATGGGTTGGAAGTTCTTCTGAAAAAGACCAGAGTCCTTTACAAATAAATGAAAGGCAGTAATTGTACCAGTGAGTATATATATCTCAAGGAGTCCCTTGACTATTTCAGTCTGAGTTGGGTCTGGATATGCTTCAAAAAACCATTTCATCCAGGTGTGTGATCTGCCCCCTTCCTACACAATTCTCAGGTTAATTCTTACATTCTTCCCTCCCCATCTTGTGTTTAGAAGACCTTAACATGCTCACAATCTGAACACCTGGTCTCTGCTGCTCCCCAGACCCCATACCTCTTTATGCTCATTCCTCATAAACTCCTAAACCAGCTCAGCAAACCGTATACATTCCCATCTCACGTGAAAGACACCCAGCTTTCTAAGCCTCTTCTCTGTAACGCTAACCTCTAAAGATACTGCTTTTTTTGTAGGATGTCCTGACAGTGCTCAGGAACATCATCGCCCCCTTCACTTGCTTTCCCTTTCGCCTGAAGAGTGCCCCTTCCCCCACTTACTTCCTTCAGTTTTTACTCAAATGTCACCTTCTTGGTGAATGAGATCTTCCGTGGGTAATTCGGAAGGTCACCCCTCCCCAGTATTCTCGATTCTGCTTTATTTTCAAGCAGCACACTATCTGTTTTTTGTCGGTAGTGGGTTTTTTTTTTAAAGCAAATCCTAGCATGTTATTAACTCAAAAGGAGTTTGTTGTTGGTTAATTATTTTCTTAGCAAACCAAACTGTGTGCTTCACTTTTCATCTTGTGTATTGTCTTAAACCCCCATGTGCCACTCTCTGTTTTGTTCACTGCCATATCCCTGATGTTTAGAACAGTGCCCAACATATAGTAGGATCTCAGGCGGTACTAGCTGAATGAATACGTGAGTGCACTTGGATCTCTTCATCTCCCCCTCTGCTTCTTGGGCAGGATTGGCTTTGGCCTATGCAGCAACTACCCTGATTTACCAGGAGCAGTGTAGTACGGGGGCAGGGGGCAACAAAGCAGTCCTGGGGGTCATAGAAGTCAAATTTTAAATTCTTGCTCTGCTTCTCAGTAGCTGTGTGATCTTGGGCAACTCACAT